GAGCGCCTGATCTTTGTTCTCTTCTGGATCCCCCACTTTCTAGATGTTGGCCCTTCTGCTTTTGCCCTCCACATATTCTATTTTTGCCTGCTTTAATTTTAATCTAATAATCAGACTCTCATTCTATCTGTTGAGCCTATTCCGTCTATTTATTCCCTTGATTGTGATTTCCCCTTTAACTACTTTAATAACCAAATCTAATGTTCCCATGTGGTTCTTTTTTTTTATTATTTCCAATTCCTGCTTTGCATTTATCTTTGCTTTCTCACTATACTTTTCAAGCTTTAGAAAAATACCTTGGCTCACTCATTCCAGTGTTTTGGTCAGATGTGTATATATTCTTCAACTTGTTGACTTTGAGATTGTTGTAGATCTCAGGTGTCTAGCTACTCTGCCTCTGAGCGCAGACTCTACTGGAAATATCAGATACTTTGGCAATATGCATTTAAGAAAGTTTTTGTTTGCCTTTTGATTACTGAATCAATTGCCTTGTGATCAGAAAATGTGAACTATTTCACACATATGCTTTGAAATTTAGAAAACTTGCTTTAAGATCTCTATAATATTCAACCAACCTTTGTGGAAGTAAAAACACAGATTTGAAAAGAATATATGTTTTCTAACCACTGGGGGAAGCATTTTCTAAGTTCCATTAGACAAAGCCTATTCATGTAATGCTCAACTCATCTGTAACAGTCTTTTCAATAATTGAGAAAAATACACTAAATGTCCCACTATGATATTGAATTTATTAATTCAAACAGTATTTGGTTAGTCCATTTTGAAGATAGGTTACAAGTTGCATAGAAGTGAGAGTCTTTGATTTCCTGAGAATCAAAACTTTTCTCATTACTGAGTTTATTTTAACCTGCACTGTTTTTTCCCTGTTAAGTTGTATACCATGTAGCTATCGATGAGTTAATGTTTAAATAGTATATCTTTGCCCACCTTATACTTTAAAATTTTCTGGGTTCTAATATTTTGAGTGTGTGTCTTTAAAACAGTACATACTTATCATCTAAAATGAAAAGTTATTTTTAATAAGTATAATCAATTTCCTCTCTTTGTATTATGGGTTATTTGTCCATATTTCCAGTGTGTTTTTCCTTCTGATTTATCTTTTAGACTTGCTTCTTGTTTAATTACATTTGTCCAGATTGTTTTGGAAGTTGCTTGTCTTCTTTTTTTAAAAGCTACATTTAATTTATCTGCTTATTTTGGTGTGTTGTGTTGTGGGAGGCCAGCTCCCACCTTTTCAAGGGTTCTTATGAGGAGGAGAGAGGGATAAGAAAATATTATCTATAAAGATAGTGAAGAGGAGAAAGACAGAAACACAGGATAGCTTCGAGAGGACCTGGGTCAATACCCAATGGCCTTTTCTGTTTATTCCAAAGGGCTTTTTATAATAATGCCAACGGGCAGGGCAAAAGACCTCCCCTTGCTAGGTCAAAGCACACCACACAGACAAGTGTAGACCCTTCCAAACACCTGGTCCTGTGGTCAAAATATCCCCTTATGCAGCCCTGCTGGGTAAAGCAAGCTCAGATTCTTGGATCCTGAGTAACTTCTCACTAGGAAAACTCTGTGGGTCTCCACAGTGTGTGTGCACACATGAACATCTGTGTGAGTGTGTACCATGTGTGTTTGGGTACTTGCAAAGCCAGAAGATTTCCTGAAGCTAGAGTTACAGTCAGCTGTGAGCCACCTACTGTGAGTCCTGGGAACTGAACTCAGATACTTTGGAAGAGCAGGAAGCACTCTTTAACTGCTGATCTGTCTTTCCAGCCCCACCTCCACCCCCCTCTTTTTGAGACAGAGTCTTATGCAGTAGCTCAGACTAACCTTTAACTCAGGATATGTATGATCTAGACTGGCCCTGAAGTTAGAACAGTCTTCCAACACCAATGTTGCCTCCAGTACTGATTTTGCAGTTATGAGCCATTTTTCCTTGCAAAAAGGAAAAGTGAGAAGAGAAATGGCCAAAACATGTAAGTAATTCTACAAAAATATTATCTATGCAAAACAGCACTGTATACTTTGAAGGCTTCAAAACAATAAAAATGTGATGTAAGATCTCTAGTATGTAATAGGGTTTCTGTATCACAACAACAGGTTTTTCTGCTGATGCAGTAAGCCAGATCAAGCTGAGCTGAAAAAAATAAAAGAACAGGTTTCTTTCTTTCTTTTTTGTTTTTTCGAGACAGGGTTTCTCTGTGTAGCTTTGCACCTTTCCTGGAACTCACTCTGTAGACCAGGCTGGCCTCTAACTCACAGACATCCGCCTGGCTCTGCCTCCCGAGTGCTGGGATTAAAGGTGTGCGCGGCCGCCGCCGCCGCCGCCGCCGCCGCCGCCGCCGCCGCCGCCGCCGCCGCCGCCGCCGCCGCCGCCGCTGCCACTACTACCAGGCAAGAACAGGTTTATTTGAGCAAAGCAACTCCTGGGTGAGTTCTCCAGCCCCAGAGAGTGAAGCAGGAGAAGTCACTCACCCCAACTAAACCAGCGAGCTCATATAGCTTGGAGGCAAGGGGTGATGACCCCATAATCTGGGTTTGTGCCCAAGTATGGTCAAAAGCTGGGTGCTTTAGGTGGGGGTCTTAGACTGCTGGCAACTTCAGGGGAGGAACTCCCTCAGCAGCCAGGAATGCAGAACTGGGGTTTTCTGTGCCTTTTCTTTGTTGGGGATTTCTGAGAGGGTGGGGTTTGGAGAAAGAAAGATGGGGCTTTCCAGATCAAGCAGGAGTGAGCTGGAGGTTCCAGCCAAACAGTATGGGGAAAGACAAAAGGAGTTAGGGTGAAACCCTTTTCAGCACCATAAATGAAACTCGGTTTCAGCTTTACTTCGTTAGACAGTGCTGGGTCAAAACGTCTGGAGTGTGATGCCAAGAGGTGTAATTTTTACACATTTAAACACAGTAAAACTTTGAGAGAAAGTTTCCACCGGACAGTTATCACAACAAAGCTTTAGGCATGACTACATTGAAACTCTTGTGCAAACTGCATCTCTTTAGCAAAGCACCTGTGGCCTTTCCCACTTGAATGGGTTCTATTGCTTAGAAGTCAGGGCCTAGGGAGGAAGCATTTGTAATAAGCACAATAGCAAACTCTTTTGCAAAATATGTGGGGCCTCTTTCGTGAGGATGGGTTCTATTGACTGAGAAACCATGCTCAGGATTCTGGGGGATTCTGTGAGGGCTGGCTTTACAGAGTAGCAAAGATTACCTGGTATTAGTACATCCATTCCCAGCTTTCTGGACGGAAAACTGGTGTCATTTTCTTCTGATGAAGAAAATCTGGTTATTTAACAATTCTGGTTTTCCAGTGCTTATGTGTGAGCTCATGTCCTCTACAATATGTATCAAAATATTAAGAGTACCTATTAAAAATTAAGTCATTACATAGCATCAAACTGCCCCCTAAATTCACATTTCTATACCCATAGATTAGTGCCACTTTCTTTTCCTTTTTGTAAAACATATAGTTTTTCTTCTTCCTGGATGATTTTGAGAGTTTTTCTATCCTTTTTTAAACCTAGAGAATACTTTCTCAGTTTCAGTCACCAAATCCATGGAGGTTTCTTTAGTGACTATAGTTGATGATCCCAGCACTTGGGAGGCTGAGGTAAGATGATGGTGAGTTCAAGGCCAACCTGAGCTACATAGCAAGACCCTGTCTCAAAAACCAAACCAAACCAAACCAAGCCCCCAAAACTCTTGGTATTTATTTATTTGAAACTGCACGTGGACTGAGAGTCGGTTGGACTCTTGTGTCTGTCTTTGTGGACACATGTCTAATTGCTCCAGGGCTGTCTGTTGAGGTGGTTGTCCTTCCTCCATCAGACTGTTGCAAATCAGTTGCTTGTGTGTGGGACAACTGGTTCTGTCTCTTCATTCTGCCCCTCTGATCTATCTTCTGCTTGTCTTGTCCCCAATACCACAGTGTGTTAATTATCATAGCTCTATATCAAGCTTTCAAATAAAAGTGTGGACCCTCCAACATTGTTTTAGTTTAAAAGTGGATTCCTATATTGCTTTTCTATATAAATTTAGAAATCAGCTGATTAGTTGCTACTAATAAAGCCTACTAGATTTTTTTAAAAAAATTTATTGTATGTACAGATCAATGTGTGGAGAGCTGTCGTGTGAACCGTGATGAATCCTCTAATCCTTTAATTCACTTTTAGAGAATCATTTAGGGGATCAGTTGGTGGAGGGTTTGTCCTGTATGCACAAATATCTGAGATTTGATCACAAGTACCAAGCCTGGTGGCATATGCCTGTAATCCCAGTACTTGGTAGGTGAAGGCAGAATGATCAGAAGGTCAACTGTGGAGGCCAAAAGAGAAAGCTCGGACCTTAAGAACCTGTACAATTCTAGGACCTGCTCATAGTGGGGTGAGTCACAACAGCCTGTTACTTCAACTCCAGGGGATCTGATGGCTTGGTCTCTATGGGGACCTGCTCTCATGTGAACATACCCCCAACACATATACATGCATTAATTATCAATAATAAAAGTAAATTAAAAAACAATTTCAAGATCATCCTCTACTACGTACAGAGTTCTAGTCTAGCCTGAGCTACGTGAAACCGTGTCTCAAAAAACAATAATTTAAAATAGCATCAAAAGTGAAATAATTCTGGTGAAATAATGTGGAAGCTTTGATGCTGTGAACTTCAAAACAGTCAAGACAGAATTTAGAAAGGATAGAATTTAAGAGACTTGCCAGTCATTTTAACAAAGATCATTTTATATACAAATTATTAGTAATGTGGATGGAGAGATGACTCAGTGGTTAAGAGCATGTCCTTGTAGAGGACCTAGTTCCCAGTACCCATTTTGGGCAGCTCATATCAGCTTGTCACTCCAGGTCCAGGGGATCCTACACCCTCTTTTGCACTTCGTGTATCTATAAACCCACATTCACATACACACAATTAAAGATAAAATAAAATTTAAAACTTAGAAAAATGATTAACAATGTGTGTATTTGTTAATCTAGGTTTCTGAAAGCAACAAACCAAAAAGGACTCTCAAGTGTTCAGAGGGCAAGAGGTTCAGGAACCATCGGTAAAGCTGAGGGAACAAAGGTAAGAGGTTGGAATTACGAAGATTTTGCAACTTGGAAGAGGGCTGTGTGAGAAGGCATTCCATCCAGTGTCTCTGAGCTCACAGGAAGGATTTGGGATCCGAGGAGAGGGCCTCGATCAGTGGTTCTCAACCTTCCTAACACTGCGACCCTTTAATACAGTTCCTCATGTTGTGATGACCTCCAACCGTAAAGTTATCTTTGTTGCTACTTCCTAACTGTCATTTTGCCACTGTCATGGATCAGAATGTAGATATCTGATATACAACCCATGTGAAAGCGTTGTCTGACCCCTAAAGGGGTTGTGACCCACAAGTTGAGATCCACTGGCCTAGCTGGTTATGGTGAGCTCTTGAGGATATGCGATGAGACTTGACTTGCTAAAGCCAATCAACTGGGCATTCAATCTAGCTACTGGCATGGGAAAGAACTGGGGGTGCCTGAGTAAGGAAGCATTGCTAAAGGAATGCTCTCAGGAAGAGGAAGGAAGCAGGAAGCCACAGGAGATGGTCCCTTCTTCCTCCTCTATCCCATTCTATTCTTAGTGCCTCCTGTTGGCAGGGCCTATCCGGGCACCTGCTGGTAAGTCGGAAGTGAGGTGTAGAGAGGGTCAGTTCCAGCACCACAAAGCAAAGCGTACAAGACTTAGCTTAATAACTGGAATGAGCAGAGAGCAAAGGAAAGCAGGTACTATGGTATTTATAGCACAAAACACATGATTTCACAGCACTTGAAATGCTGACATCAGTATTAAAATAAAAGCAAGTCTTATATAACCACCCCAAAATAGAAACAACTCAACGCAGAGAACACACACGAGAAAATGAAGGGTGCAATTCAGCAAACGTAGAACAGCATGCAGATCCCGAAAGTGATAATGTGGCAGAAACACAACCCTGCTGGGTGCGTGATGGTTGTAGATAGTCAAGTTAGATTTCACAACACACCCACCCCCTACACACACACACACACACACACACACACACACACACACACACACACACACACACACAAGTTCTTACCCAACGTCTTCATTTCTTTAAAAGCAATTATCACCAAAGGGGATGGGGGAACAGCTCAGTGATACCGCGGCGTTTGCCTCGCATGCGCAAGGCCTTGGGTTGAACCCCCAGTGTCACAGAACAGGACCTTAGAGCCAGCCCTGATGCTGCATACTTGACATCTCAGCACTTGGGAGGCTGAGGTAGGAGGGTTGCCGTGAGTTTGATGCCAGCTTGGACTCCAGAGTGAGTATTCAGGCTAGAAGGAAGCTCACACCAATCCTGCCCACTACCTAAAAGAAAACCTTTATGAAGTTGGGAGAGGCTGTAGGGGTGGATATAGGAGGAGTTGGGGGAAGAATGGGAATGTGTGTGTGAATATGATCAAAATACATTGTATATATGTATAAAATTCTCAAAGCATTAACAAAAGTATTATCCTAAAATACATGGATATCTGGAGAAAAGTATAAAATTCTTGTCCCGTTCTGTTTATTTTTCATACTGTCTTGGTAGCAAATTCTTAGATATTCTAAGGGTTTTTTTTTTTATTAAACATTTGTTTCATTTAGATAGATATGTATTCTTTTAAGTAAAATTTATTCTTTGAGAATTTTATACATGTATACAATGCATTTTGATCATGTCTACCTCTCACCCCCTCCCGCGCCTCCCCCCGCCCCAATTTCATTCCTCCCCCTTCATAAGCCACCGAGTGTCGTCAGTGCCGCCTGCATGTGCATGGGCAGTCCACTGGAGCATGAGCAATGTACCAGAGATCACACCCTGCAGAGAACTGGCTCTTCCTCCCCTAGCAGCCGGTAGCTGCCACTGGCTCCTGAGCTGGGGTGGGCCCTTCTGAGCCCCTCCTCCACCCATGTTGGAATGTTGGCTGCTTTGGTCTGTGCCGGGAGCCATAGCTGTTGTATGCCCAGGGGTGAAACGGCTTTGCCACATCCACAAGACACCATTTCTAGGTGGTCCGCCCTATCCTCTGTCCCTTGCCATCTTTTCACCTTCTTCTTCCATGGTCCCTTAGTCTCAGGGTTGGGGTGTGTGTGTGATACAGGTGTTTCATTTAGGGATAAGCACTCTAGTTGTGATTGGGGGAATCCTTATCTTCCTTTAAGATGGACAGATACACTGTGCCCAAAGGATGGCCATTGTGTGACATAATGGTGGCTCAACTGTACGTGGTTACAGTAATTATGGAAAATCATCTCTGAGAACACGATGAAGGAGCTGGGGAAATGACAGCCGAACAAGCATGGAATTGGTGGCATTCATACTGCCTTTGTCCTGGATGCCCTCTACAGTGCGTGTCTGGGTTTTGTTGGAACGAGCAACATTGTGTTTGAAAAGTTGTAGAGCTCATTTGAGACTCTGAATGAACTCTCTTTCTAAAGACGACTTATTTATTTTTATTTCACTTAGATGGTTGAACTAGAAAAATACTCCAAAGACTCAATCCATTTTGAAATTCAGAACAAACAAAGGAAAAAGAAACTCCGTTGGCTCATTTGGGTCTTTGTGAAAGCTGTCACCTTTGGTCCTTGGGGATGGCTCTGCCAGGCTCTCACCTGAAAACCTGGGGATACTTAACTCTTGAGCTGTTAGGACTACAAATAGCCCGTCTGGGTCCTCAACACCCTTGTTGCCATTTTCTTGTAATCCCTCCACTCTCAGGTGGCCACTTTCAGCAAATGTGTTGAGAGGAAAAAGTAGAGTTCAGTATTTGACTCCCAGCTCTCCGCAGTCCTTCTCTTTAAGAATTATATTCAAGTTTTTCATGTATTGTAGATGTTTGAAAACATCTGTTTTAATTTGGTGTGTGTGTGTGTGTGTGTGTGTGTGTGTGTGTGTGTGTGTGTGTGCAACAGCACTTGTGTGGAGGTCAGAGGTCAACTTTCAGGATTCAGTTCTCATCTTTCATCTTGTTGAAATAGGGTCTCTCTTGTTGTTTCTTAGGCTTTATACTCCAGGCCAGCTGGCCCATGAGCTTCCAGGTGATTCTCCTGCCTACCATCTCTCTGTAGGAGTGCTGGGATTACAGATGTGTGACCACTGCATGTGGTTCTTTTTGTGGGTTCTGGGAACCGAACTCAGATTGACAAACTTGTACAGTTAGCCTTTTTACCAGCTGAGTCCAGGCCCTGAAAACGTCTTTTAGAATAGTGACGGTGTTCTGTTGCTTTTAAAGATGTTCTTGCCTGGCATGGTGGCACACATCTTTAACCCCAGCACCTAGGATCTTTCCTGGCATGGTGGCACACATCTTTAACCCCAGCACCCAGGAGGCAGAGGCAAGTAGATCTCTGAGTTCGAGGTCTGCCTAGTCTACAGAGTGAGTTCTAGGACCGCAAGGGCTACCTGTCTACTGCAAGAAACCCTGTCTCAACCTCCTGCCCCCAAAGAAGATGTTCTTGAGAGATTTAGACTTAATATTTTATATAAAACATAGCTTGAAGCAGAACCTACTCAGCTTTTGAATTTAGTGCTTATATATTTTTTATTTTATGCCCTGGCCATTCTGGAACTCACTTAGTAGAACATGCTGGCCTTGAGTATACAGAGATCCGCCTGTCTCTGCCTGCTGAGTGCTGGACTAAGGACATGTGTCACCACACCCAGCTTGTATATTTTTATTTCTAGAATTTCTTCTTAGATCTTTTTCCAAATATTTGATCACTTTTACAGATGAAGACGTAGCTTCTGGTTTCTTTTTTTGTTAAATGTATGTCATTTAGATATACTTACACAATGAAATGGGTTTTTATAGTTGTGTGTGCCTGTGAAATCAGTATCTAAGCATTGTACAGAATATTGCCATAACCTCAGAAAGTTCTGTTGTTACCCTTGTGGTTAATTTACCCTTCCTCTCTTAGATATTCTGATTTTTAGTGCCTTGACGTTGGTTTTGTCTTTTGGAGCTTTGTCTAAAAAGTGCCAAACAGCATTCACACTCATCTTGTTTTTAAGATTGCTATCCGTTCCTTTCTAATTCTCAGTACAGTTTCACTGAATGAGCCCAACACCGTTTGTGTATCCGTCTCCTTTGGGGGTGCTGCTGTTTCTAGGATTTGGCCACTGTGCATACAGCTGCTGCTGTTCTTAGCCCAGGCTTTCTGTGGTCCCTGCTTGTTCATTTTTACTTTGTTTTTATTCTGCGTCTATCGCTTTAGCATCTGCAGCATTTGGGATCCAGTCCCTGCTTCTTTGTCTGACTTCTCCTGGTGGTTTGTTTTCTTGTGTTTGGTCATTTTTGATTGGAGCAGGTTTTGCTCACTGTGGGGATCCTGAGGGGCCTGAGTGTTTTCCCATTTGTGTCTGCAGGGTGTCCAGTGTGATTCTCACTGAGAAGCACTTGAGGTTCGTTTTTCCCTGGGGATTCCCTGAATAGAGAGAGTAGTTTTTCAGACCCCTCCTGTGAGAGGAAAGGTTTGTGTTGATACATTTGCAGGAAACTTGGATTTGTAAAAAATTATTTTTAAGATTAGTTTATAATATATTAGATTATAGTGGCATTCTCAAACAAAGTATGCTTTATTCGATTCTCCCCACATATTTTCCATCCCCCTCCTCTCGGATCTTTCCCTCCACCCAGTTTTCTTTGTCCTTTATTGTCACATGTATCTTTTTGTGTACTTGCACACCCCCCCCCCCCACAACCACCCTCACCCCCAGCTTTCTCATTTTCTCCCCTCTCTTGGTTTCCTTTTAGGCATTACCCATGCAACCCACTTATATCCCCGCATATACAGATTGCAAACTAGGATCTGAATATGAGAGAAAAAATATGGAGTTCTTGTCTGTCTGGTTTGAGTCACCTCACTTAATGTAGTAGTTTCAAGCTCTACCCATTTCCCTACAAATAACATCATTTGATGGATTGTGAAAAATAATTAAAATGATTCCGAGTTAGGGCCCGAGGTAGGTAACTTTCCAGGTCAGCTCCTGCAGTAACCTTTGCCCTTAGGCATGGTTTGTCACAGATCTTGGACTTCCACCCTTCACTTAGCACCCTTCTAACTGGGGGCAGAAGCCCCCAGAGCAGCTCAAAGCCCTCTCATTTGTTCCTCTCAGTTCTCTTAGAGCTCATGGATTCTCTTGGCTTATTGAATTTAGGTATGCATTAAAGATTCAGAAAACTGAGAGTGAGGCATGCTGGTAATCCCAACACTTGAGAGGCTGAGGCAGGAGTTCAAGGCCAGCCTGGGCTACATGGGGGTGTGTGTCCTAAAACAAGGTTTCTTCTATCTTTTTAGTACTGGTATATAGACTGCACGGTTCTCCCTCACGGCCTGGCAGTATCTGACCAGGGGTGTAAATCTCTTACATACCTTGTCACAGACTCTCCTCTGCCTTCTGCATAGGACACATCTGTTTCATGCTTGCCTCCTCCTCTATCTGGGGAGTAAACAGCAAGCCTGCATACTCAGAATATCATCTGCAATGCATGTTAGCATTTGCTTCTTTTTGCCTATCTCTGTTTGTATGTGCTTTGCCAAGTTCTAGTTTTTGTGTCAAGATTTCTCTGGCATACTTCCCATTTCTCCTGCTTTTCAGTGGATGATCATGAGTTCTGGGTCCTTTTTCATTGCCGAGCTACCACGAGCTACCCAAGGGCTGGGCACGTGCTTGCCATGCCTGCCTCTTCCCCTGGATTGTCTCATCAGCCAGGTATTAGGATGTTGTCTATTTCCTAGTTTGACTGAAGGTGAATTCTCTTCCCCATTTTCCATCCTCTGGGAAGGGACAGGTGTGTGGAAATGTGTGTGTACTTCCCTCTCACTCCAGGTGGTCTGGTGACAGAGAGCACACTCTGAACTGCTCGCAGCTGAAGCCTTATGCAGGTGTGGGGAGATGTGTCCCTGTCCGTTTCCAATTCTTTTCTGCAGAGATGTGCTTGTGCTGCATGCTGACCTCCCCATTCCGGTCCTGCCCTGAACCATGCTCGTTTGCCATCGTGGATAGGTAAGTGCTTTTTCGGGCAGGGCTCTATTGTCTACACACATACTGTGCCCGGTGTGAAGTAAGGACTCAAGGCATGCCTGTTGACTGAATGGCTTTGGGATCTCTTAGAATCCAAGTCAGATTTCATGTCTAGGGCTCATGTGTGGACTCTGGGTGCCTAACTGCATCCCCAAGGCATGCCTTCGGTAAGGTCTCATGACATGCTATTACAGACTGAGCTCTTCACCTGTATCCACAAGATCTAGCTTTCTGGTTAATTCTTTCACCTCTCTGTATTTCTCCCCCCCCCCCCCCCCCCCCCCCCCCCCCCAGTCTTCTATTCATAAAATGGAGCTTTTCCTGCCTTGTACGTGTGTGACGTAATCCAGTGCTGCAGTACAGCCATGACCTCTTTTTACAGGTCCCATCATTTGAAAGGAAGGGTGGCTGGTAAAGGGGTTCACTCATGGTCTCCTAATCCTGCTTTTAGCCCGGCTTGCCCTCCAAGACTGGGAAGCTGGAGAGCAAGCCTGGCTGGCTGGTGTTGGGAACCTGCAGTGATATCTGTGGCCACCAGGTGTCACCCTCAGCCTTGTAATGTGGATTATAACCTCAGGGACAATTTCTACAATCGCCAGTCCTGGTTCCCAGCAGGGAGCCTGGTTTCTCTGGATTCCTAGTACCTGTTCAAACAGTTCCTGGCATCAATACTGGAGGCGATCACAACCATCCATCTTGGCCTTCGTTTCCAGGTACAAGGTGCTATGTAATTCTAATTTATTTTAAATTTTGCCCAACCCGTGCATGACCAGAAATGGCCAAAATGTTCATGCATTCAATTTCAGAACCCAAAGCCAGCAAATTTAGAATTGGTCATGGTAAGTCCTCTACCACTCACTCCCCACATTTTTTTTTTTTTTTTGCTACTAAAAAATGTGTTTTAAAACCACTGCCTCAGGGTAACCTAGTTATTGTAGTAGCAAGACTAAGGAGAAGAAATCTCAGACTTCACCAAAGTCCTCTAGATAGACCAAGGCACTGGGTGCTTAGGCTTAGTTCCATCTTTCTGGGCCTTTCTTGGGGGCATTTTCTCTGCTGATTACTCTCTTAAAATATTCTCCTCAGCTTTCATTCATTATTTTTTTTGTTTGTTTTGTTTTGTTTTTGTTTTTTGTTTTTCGAGACAGGGTCTCTCTGTGTAGCTTTGCGCCTTTCCTGGAACTCGCTTTGGAGACCAGGCTGGCCTCGAACTCACAGAGATCCGCCTGGCTCTGCCTCCCGAGTACTGGGATTAAAGGCGTGCACCACCACCGCCCAACTTGTTCATTATTATTTTTTCCCTTTTATTGATGCTGTGATACTTTGGTCCTTCACGGTCTTTCTTCACATCATTTCATCGTGTCTTACGGCACTTGCCATGGCTTCTCTTCTTCTACCTTATACAGAATACTCACCTAGTTAGCAAGTAGTTGAGAAATCTCTATCTCAGTCCGACGTCTGCATATTGTCCTCTCTACTGGAGGAATTTGCTTTAAACGCAGCTCGGGTATTTACTCGTAAACACATTAAAGTGTATTCACTTTAGGTACATAGCTCCATCACTTTTGCTCATTGTGTATTGTTTTATAACTACCGTCTTAATTGAGATATTTGTTGCCTGTAATGGTTAATCTTGGTTGTCGTTTTGACTGGGATAAGGTATACTTTGAACATGGGTGGAGCAAACTTGGTGTCTGTGAGGGTTTTCCAGAGAAGACTGGCCTGTGGTATCAGCAAAGGGAGTCGGGAGGCCCTGCCCATGGGGAGGACAGCTGGGCAGGACCCAGTGGCAGCCCAGATGGGATGAAAACAATGAATGGGAAAGCTTGCCCAGACTTGGGTGCATACAGCTTCTGCTGCCATTTTTTTGTCAATGGATGTCACACTGCAGCTTTTTAGACATTTGAAACACAGAATTGCACAATGCCCCTCTACAGGGTGCTTCCAGGCCCCCAGCCTCAGACTGGTGCCGAATCATTGGTCCCTCTGTTTTTGGGGCTTCTAGGTTCCTGACCTGAGCAGCTGCTGCTGATGTCCTGGCTCTCCACCTTGCCGATGGCCACTGTGGCATTGTCCCGATTCAAGTCGTGGAAGTAAGTTTAACAAACCTACTCTAATAATTACTTATATTGGTCTGAAATAGGCAGCGGAGAATAGAATAGTCTGTTGGTTCTTTTCCTCTGGAGAACCCAGGCAAATACATCAGCCTTAGAACAATTCTTTCTGGCTGTGTTCTCTCATTTTAACATTTTCTCTTGCTCCTTTGCCTGGCCCTCAGCCTCATGGATCTGATTCCTGACACTATGTTGTTTTGCCTTTTCTGTAATCTACTGAAAATGGAACCCCCTTATCATCTTATAATCTCTTGATCTCCTTCCCTTGGCCCAATTAGCACCTTCAACACCTTCCCAAAACCCTATTTTTAGTTCCAGGCTGCTCAAAGGCTAGTGATGCTGTCTCCATTTATTCTGACATCCCAGCTAGCAAGCTGGTGCTGTCCTGTTGAGGGCCCCCTCCTTTTCTCTCTGCCCCACCCCCACCCCAGCCCCCAGGAGTGGTAGCCAGAAGCTCCTCCAGTTTCCTTGTCTTCCATGTCTGCCCTCCTCCCCTCAGTCTCCAGGTCACGTTGTAGAGACTCTCTTTACTTCTTCCAATCCTAGCTGGTGTCCAGGCAGAAGTCTTCAGCCTTCCTCTCATAGCTACCAGTGTGTCCTAAACTGCAAATCTGATCCTTTTATTATTATTATTATTAATTTTTTTATTTATTTTACATACCAACCACAGTTTCCCCTCCCTCCACTCCTCCCATTCCCTCCCTTCCCCTCCTTTCTGCCCCCCACCCCTATCTACTCCCCAGAAAATGTAAGGCCTCCTATGGGAGTCAACAAAGCATGGCACATCAAGTTGAGGCAGGACCAAACTCCTCCCCTGCATCAAGGCTAAGTGAGGCATTCCACTATAGGGAATAGGTTCCAAAAAGCCAGCACCAGGGACAGATCCTGGCCCCGCTGCTAGGAGCCCCACAAATAGGCCAAGCTGCACAACTGTCACCCACATGCAGAGGGCCTAGTTTGGTTCCTTGCAGGTTCGCCAGCTGTCAGTCTAGAGTCTGTGAGCTCCCATGAGCTCAGGTCAGCTGTCTCTGTGGGTTTCTCTATCATGATCTTGACCCCCTTGCTCATATAATCCCTCCTCTCTCTCTTCAAGTGGACTCTCGGAGCTCAGCCCAGTGCTTGGTTGTGGGTCTCTGCGTCTGTCTCCATCAGTTACTGGATGAAGGTTCTATGATGACAGTTAGGGTAGTCACCAACCTCATTACAGGAGAAGGCCAACTCAGGTACCCTCTCCACTGTTGCTAGGAGTCTTAGCTGAGATCATCCTTGCGGGTTCCCGGGGGTTTCCCTGGCACCAGGTTTCTCCCTAACCCCATAATGGTTCCCTATACCAAGAGATCTATTTTATTGCTTTCCCTCTGTCCCTCCTCCAACTCAACCATCCCTGTCTCTCATGTTCCTATTCCCTCCTACCTTCTACCCCCGACCCCCAGTTTACCCAGGACATCTCATCTATTTCCCCTTCCCAGGGTGATCCTGGTGTCCCTCTTAGGGTCTTCCTTGTTATCTAGTTTCTCTAGGGCTGTGGATTATAGTCTGGTTATCCTTTGCTTTATACATCGAGTATCCGCTTATGAGTGAGTACATACCATGTTTGCCTTTCTGGGTTTGGGTTACCTCACTCAGGATGATTTTTTCTAATTCTATCCATTTGCCTGCAAATTTCATGATGTCATTGTTTTTTACCACTGAGTAGTACTCCATTGTGTATATGTACCACATTTTCTTTATCCATTCTTCGGTTGAGGGGTATCTAAGTTGTTTCCAGGTTCTGGCTACTATGAATAATGCTGCTGTGAACATAGTTGAGCAAGTGTCCTTGTGGTATGATTGAGCCACAACTCCAGGCTGGTTTAGGTGTTCTCTGGAAAATGTCATTCATCTCTTCCATTTCCAGTCATGTCAGTCCATTTTTAAGACACCCATCTGTCCTTTCTACTAGACTTTTAAATTCCTCGAGGAGTTCCCATTTTATTTGGATTTATCTTCTTGTCCCTGGTATAGGGCCAGGCACATAGGGAATTTGACATTGTTAATCTTGATTGTCAACTTGATTGGACTGAAACACCAAGGAGATTAGTAAAGATCATCTCTGGGTATTTTCAGATACAGTTAGATTATAAGGGCTCTGACCCAATAACTGGTTTAATCCATTGAGTAGTTCACAATGGGAGCGGACTCTTAGAGGGGATGGTAGAGCTATGGAATGTGGGGCCGGGTTGGAGGAAGTAGGTTCCCAGGGGCATTCTGTTTGGGGCTTTATCCTGCCCTGACTCCTTCCTATATGCTCTTTGTTCTCGTTTCCAGCCACTACAAGGTGAAGGACCTTCTTTGTCACGTGTCCCTGTTGCCATGATATTATGCCTTAGCACATGGAACCATGTGACAGGGGATGGAACCACCTGAAATCATGATCCAAACAAACCCTTCCTTCCTTGGTGCTTTGTCATGGGGACACAAAATCTAATACAAGCTGTCAGTGAATGCTCCAAGTTGAAGGAGGCTAGAGGAGGTCGAGATAAAGGTCAGGAAGACCTAATGCTCCATTTGACCTCGGTCGTAGTGAAAGGAGAGGAAGAATTAGGGTGGAAGCCATGGGAGAGCCTAGGAAGAGAACGTGTGCACGTGGGGAGGCAAGTACCAATGTCTACATTCAGCTTCCACTCCAACACCGACAGTATTTGGTTAATGTGGGTGGAGAGAGGCGGCTGTGTATGCATGTGTATGTGTAAAGTATGGAAGTGTGTGTGTGTGTGTGTGTGTGTGTGTGTATAGTATGGGAGTGTGTGCTCCTGTGTCTGTGGGGTGTGGACATGTGTGCTCCTGTTCCTGTGTCTGTGGAGTGTGGAAGTGTGTGTGTGTTCCTGTGTCTGTGGGGTGTGGAAGTGTGTGTGCTCCTGTGTCTGTGGGGTGTGTGTGTGTGTGTGTGTGTGTGTGTGTGTGCTCCTGTGTCTGTGGGGTGTGGAAGTGTGTGTGCTCCTGTGTCTGTGGGGTGTGTGTGTGTGTGTGTGTGTGTGTGTGTGCTCCTGTGTCTGTGGGGTGTGGAAGTGTGTGTGCTCCTGTGTCTGTGGTGTGTGTGTGTGTGTGTGTGTGTGTGTGTGTGTGTGTGCTCCTGTGTCTGTGGGGTGTGGAAGTGTGTGTGCTCCTGTGTCTGTGGTGTGTGTGTGTGTGTGTGTGTGTGTGTGTGTGTGTGCTCCTGTGTCTGTGGGGTGTGGAAGTATGTGTGCTCCTGTGTCTGTGGGATGTGGATGTGTGTGTACTCCTGTGTCTGTGGGGTGTGGATGTGTGTGTGTGTGTGTGCTCCTGTGTCTGTGGGGGGGTGGATGTGTGTACCGGCCAGAAAACATCCTTAGATGTCCTTCTTCTGGTATCATCACACATTTATTTACTTATTTATTTGTTTGTTTTTGAGACAGGATTGCTCAATGGACTGGGGCCCTTCTTGTAAGCTAGATTGGCTGGTCAGTAAGCCCTAGAGATCAGCCTGCATCCATCTCCCTTTTGCTGGGATTACAAACTCTTACCATCACGTCTAGCTTTAGCTCTTTTTGTTTTGTTTTGTTTTTTTTTAACCAAAAAACTTAGAAGGGATGTTGGCTGAGAGAAAGCCAAGAGAGAAAGAGATCCTAAACAGTGGAAACAATGGGAGACACACACCTTCTTGGATCTCTGGAGAGGACAGGGCTCAGGCTTCTGAGGCTCCGGCAGTGCTGTTTTCACACCGCACAGCTGGATGGACCACGACTGCCACTTCTGACTGTGAACAGAGCCACAGGAATTTCCCAGGGTCATCCTACCCTACCTGAGTCCCAACCGGAGAAGGAGGTAGATCTGATGAACTTCATTTAACCAGTGTGCCCGAGGCTCTCTCCCCCTAGGGCTGGAGTCTTCCCTACTTCAGTGTCTGTCTCTAAAGTGAGTTACCCACGTCAGGTGTGTGTAGAGATGACACGCGTGAGAAGGCCCGTGGCTATTTGCAGATTCTACAATGAGACAAGAGAGACCCAAGAAAGAACATCCAGAGGCGGAAGCTACTGTCGGATGGAGAGCAATCTCCGAGTCAATGAAATGTTAGAACAATTTAATATTACATTAACAGGAGAACTGTGAGTTCCCCAAAGTCTTAATGTCTTCCAGTTGCACAGCTGGGGCAGCTGGCCAAGGAAACTTTTGATTAGCCGGAGCTTTATGGGGGAAGGCATTTCCTGTAGCAGGCTTTTTGTTTATTTGTTTTGTTTTGTTTGTGTTTTTTTATGAATGAGAAAACAAAAGATTCTCAAAAGGGATAATCATGAAAGGAAAGTCTCTCCTGCCCCCCCCCCCCCGCTTCCCTTTAATAGATGTTCTTGTGTCAAATGATGCTGAGTCTTAATACCATACTGTCAATCTTTGCTTTGAGTGGGAGATCAGCATTTTCCTTTGTATGACTTAGAGGTTGAGGAACAGAGTGCCTGGCTTTAGATATTGATGCTCCATTTCCCGGCTGTAGGTCTCCAGCAATTTGCTTAACAGTCATGTGCCTTACAGATGCTCACGCCTCACAGGCTTACTTAGTATTTACTTATGTAACCAATAGGAAGCACTTGGCATATTGTTGATAATAATAATAATAATAATAATAATAATAATAATGTAATCATGCTTTATATTTGCAGGTAGCTGGATTCATTTTTTTAACTTTTATTTTTCATTCTCATAACAATATGATGACATAACTGCTGTCATTGTTTTCAAGGCTCGCTTATTTTTATTTTGTATGTACGAGTGTTTGGCCTGCATGTTAAGTCCATGTACCACATGATGGCAGTGCCCTTGGAGGCCAGAAGAGGGTGTTGGGTTCTCTGGAACTGGAGTTACAGACCGCCAGGTGGGGTGCTGGGAACGGAACCCAGGTCCTTTGGAAGAGTAGCCATGGCTCTTAGCCTCTGAGCCATCCCTCTAGGTTCACTTTTGCTTTTTTGATAAATGAGGAAAATGCAACCCTGAAAGGTCAGAACGCTTAAGCCAGGTCACAAACTGTTGAACTACATCTCCCAGCTCCCTGTTCAGGCTGATTTTCACCAGTCATTTACACCGGTAGTAGAATTAGAAGTCACTGTTAGGGACTGAATGGGCAGGTGTCTTGGGAGATGGCTCTTAGCCATCTCCGTCTGGACTTCCTGCTCTCAAGATGGCAATCACTGGGTTCTCAGCATTAAGGGAGGCCTGAGCAGAGCTGGGCTCTATGAATTAGTGTTACGTGACAAGTATTACTTGTGGATTTTGGAAATGAAGCCTTTCTTCTATTAATTTTTCTTGAGAATGTTTTGTATAGGCTTTATTTTAAAGTTCTAGCTGATTAGAAAGGGAGTCAATTTTCATGTTCCAATGAATGTTTGTTGGGTACTCATTGTGTGCCAGGAAATGTGCAAAGGGGTTTTTCCATACTCTTTATTTTTTAATCCTTATTGCAATCCAAAGCTTTGTGGGACATGGTTTTCATTTTACCAAAATGAAAATGGAAGGTCAGAAATTTTGAGTAATACACTCAAATCTCTCAAGGTCTATTCAAGGAAGTTTAGCCACTATCTCTTGTGGTTAATAATATATGGTTTAAATCACAATTTAGTAAACTGATCTAATAATACAAAGAAAAGATATCAGGAACAAGGTGGATTTATGTAGGGAATCAAGGAGCATTTACCATTAAAAACTAGGCCAATGGCAATTTACCAAATTCATAATGGAGAATAATCACAATCTATTTGGTAGATGATATAAAACATTTGATAAAACTCACCTTTCATTAGTCATTTCAAAACTTTCTTGGCTAAACAGCAATAAAAGGAAATTTCCTTGTTCTGATGATAGGAATTTATTAAAAGAATGATAACAGTGGTGGAATTTTGTATGTTTTCTTGATAAGATCAGAAAGGAAATAATGATGTTCTTCCATTGCCATTTATTTTGACAATGTATCTGAAGTTCTAGCCAGGGAATTAGCTCAAGAAGAAATGAAGGTAAAATGAGTCAAAAGGAAGAAATAACACTCACTCTTGGCGGGCAGTATGTCTATGTATCTAGGAAGTTCAGGGGTCGCACAGCTGTGGGATCATAATGATCAGATTAACATGGCCAGTCAATTGGGTCCATGGTCAATTGTCAAAATCCACAAACAATCAGAAGGTGGAATTTTAAAACCATACCATTTATAATAATGGCTCTAATCATTAGCTATCAATTATATGTTTAGGCAGGTTAACTTATTTCGGCCCTCCCAGTTTTCAGCTCAATGTCCTCATGTCAGCCACTAGAGTAATCTCATTCCTCTATATGCAGAGCTCTTCTGTGATTTAGGGTGCGATTTAGTTTGCTTCTTGATGGCAACCTTTTTTTTTTTGCCTGCTTAGTTTTCATCTTTCTCCCCATTACTGTCAAGTCGTCACTTCCATCTTCCAAGGTTTCACTGATGGATGTCCTCTGTCTGCTGTCGTCTCCTCTTTATCCGTAAGCATCCATAGTTTGAAAAAAAAAAAATGTCTTACTCTCATTTTACTATGGTTGCAGAAAGAAGGGGGAAAAAAAAGTATGAGTTTAATCTACCACGCCTAACCAGAAGTTCTACACAGAATTATGAAGAGCAAAGCAACAAGGCAGTGCTTATTCTGAGAGAGTTCCCTTCAAGCTGCCTAAATAACCCTGCTCTACAGCCTACCTACTTCCAAGAGTTCTGTTAAGAGATTCTGTTTATAGGCATTTGCGTTTGCTGCTGCTGGACCAGCGATCCCTGGGGCTCAACCCAGCCATGAAAGCCTATCTTCACACTGTTTCCTCAAAGCGTCCATGCCTGAAAGATTTGGGTTTGACTGACAAGAAGACTGCAATCCTAAACCTCCAGCCTGCATTTCATTCATGCGATCGCCTTTGGGGGCTTGAATGAGGATAGACCAGTTTGAACAATGCCATTAATTAAAGCATGTTCTAATTGATTGGCTAATCCCTAGGTAGCTTAAGTTTAAGGGGAGAGAAATGAGAGAAACAAAAATAGATGCAGAAGTGTTGCTAGGAAATGCTTCTTTCTACTCAGGTGCGTCCAGACTCTTAGGCACCTAACAGAAAAAGTTGTCCTAAGTTGTTGATAAATGAACAATTCTCCTCATCCCTTCTATCCTTGTCTTTAAACTCCCAGGGCCCCCAGCTGTGAGACTGTGGAGTAAAAACAATGACCAGCAGTGGGAAGCCTGCACTCACATTATGTGCCCACTCCTTGTGGGATCTGAGTGGTATGAAAATGTGCACCTACGTAATGGTCATGATGAAGCAGTAGGAAAATGCCCTTGATCCTAGAAATTGCCCATGTCCCCTGCTTTGCTCTCAACGCCTCCCTCTGCCAGAAGGCATCAGTCTCTTGACTTTATGGTAATCTGCTTCTTTTCTTTCTAGTTTTCCCTTCTATGAAGGCATAGACTTGCTTTGTGATCAAATACTCACCTTTAATCTGAGTCTTTCCCCACCTGCCGCTAAACTCTTTGAAGGACCACCTCTGTAGCATGATCCCTAGTTATTCTGTTGTTGAATGTTTATTAAGTATCTCCCGGGGACCCTACCAGAAATATAAAACATATAAATATATATCTGTTTTCAAGTTGAAATAGTCTCATGGCCAATGTCAGGTGTATTCATTGATTTATTTCCTCTATTATAAAAATAAATTTTACACTTTTTATATTTTTGCTTTTTTGTATGCTGTTTGTGGTGTGTGTGTGTGTGTGTGTGTGTGTGTGTGTGTGTGTCTGTGTGTTTGTTTGTGTGTGTGTGTAGTTGTTATATGTGTGTGATAAATGTATTGAGTGTGAAGGTACTTACTCCTGGGGAGGCCAGAGCACAATGCTAAGTGCCTTTTCCTTCCCTTGTTGCTCAACTCTTTATTGTCCTAAGACAGAGTCTCTCACTTGTAGGAGACCAACTCCGACCTGTTGAAGGGTTCTTGAGGGGAGGAGAGAGGAATAAGGAAGTATTAAAAATATAGATGGAGTTGGAGAGAAAGACAGAGACACACGACAGCTTTGGGAGGGCCTTGGGTCAATACCCAGTCCCCTCTAGTTTTATTCTAATGGGCTTTTTATACACTACCAAGGGGGAGGCAAAAAACCTCCCCGCTTCAAGATCCAAGCACAATATACAGCCAAGTATAGACCCTTCAAAACACCTGGTCACCACACCCTTGGCCAAAATCATCACATTATGCAGCCCTGCTGGGCAAAGCAAGCTCAGACTTTCTGACCTTGAGTAAGGCCTTACTAGGGAGCCTCTGTGTGCCCCCACACTCACTGGACTGGGAACTTGCTATTTTAACTAGTCTGGATGGCCAGCAAGTTCTCAGGATCTTCCTCCTGAGCCCCCCACCCCCACCCCCCCAGTGTTGGGATTACAGGCACATGCATCCATGCCTGGCTTTTTACATGGGTGCTGGCAACTTGAGCTCAGGCCCTCATGCTTGTATAGCAAGGAAATTAGTGGGATTCTTAAGCAAGGTAGAGTGACACATATCTGTAATCCCAGTCCTGGGGAGGGAAAGGTAGGAAGATCACGAATTTAAAGCTATTCTTAGCTGCATCGTGAGTTTGAGGTTAGCCTTGGCTCAATGAGGGCCTGTCTCAAAAATACTCTGTAGGATTTTTAATTAAAAGCCTACAAAGGGATGTCTTTCGCATTTTCACAGCTGTGCCTTCATCTTTCATGCCCAGGGTAACCATTCTATGTCAGATCATGGGTGGCAGGCAGCTAGAACACCTCCTTCCATGCTGTCTTGTTGGCAGTTAGAATTTGTAGGTATTGCTCATATTCGTGATAGCAACTGGAATTTGTGTTGACTGTCTTCAGGAATAAATTGCTGTTGAATAGTTCTCAAATTTGAAAGTTCCTAGACTCATGAGAACACACCTGTAGTTTTCCAGCTTGAGAGACCACTGAGGTTAGCATTTGTAGTTCTGGGCAACCTCTGGGTCCCTGTATAGTCAACACTCAATCATAGCACAAATATTGAACTCTCTTGGCAGTGTTTATTTACCAGTGGCCATCTATCAGATGCAGAACCCACTCACACCAGTCTTTAAAGACTATCATAGAAATTAAAATAGAAAATCTTACAAAAACTTCAAATTCCTAAGGGTATATTTATAGACCTACTTGGGAAACATTGAAATATTTATGTTGGTTAAAGGAAAGGCATGAACTCCCCATGTTGAGTAAATTACAAGCTCAGCACTCGTCTGGTTTTGGATACATGGTTAATCTCTGAAGTAGCTCAGCCTCAGGTCATGTCCTTGTTCCACCTGCTGATCCCACAGGAAACTGCTTGGAGGACTGAGGCGAAGTCTCAGGGTTGCAGATTGTTCCTGGATAATCTGTGTGCAGTGAGCAGCAAAGTAAACGAGAAGACTTTCATTTGAGTCTAGAGAAAATTCACAGTAAGTTTTGTCAGCAAACTGGAAGGTGATCTGTTTTTCCGGTGTGGTTTCCTGGTAGATAGTTTGTTTCCATCTTGTTCTGTTATTCCTTTAGCTACCAGGCTCAACGGTATAGACAGCTCACTGTGACGCTTTGAACCATGTCTGTTTCAATGTAATGGAGCTGAGTTCATGAGCTTGTGACTTCTAATCGCACCCAACTCAGAGAGCCATAGAATTCCAGGAGAATAGGAAAGAACCCATGTTTCTCAACAGGATGGTTTCAAGAGCCTGTCTTCACCCTTCACCTTCTCCAATCCTTTCCCACACAACATTCTAGTTGCCTCATGTGAGCAGAATCTGAAAAAGGGCTTGGGGGTGCTTACATGGGGATTTATTAAACAAATACCCTTCTGAGAAATGGAATGAGAAACATATATGGTGGTTAGATGTAATATGCATCTTAGAAGGTCTTATTAATAAAAACAAACCCAGGGCCAGGTATTGGGGTGAATGCTGAAAGATCAGAGAAACAGAACAAGCCACAGCTAACCTCACCTCGACAATTCCTCAGCGGATCCTGTTTCCTCAGACTGGAAGCCTCTGTGTCCTCATCCGAATGGATCTCAGCTGAACTGTTGCTCAAAAGCCTAAAAGCTTAACTGACCCTAGTTCCTGGTCCTGATGCCTTATATACCTTTCTGCTTCCTGCCATCACTTCCTGGGATTAAAGGCATGTGTCCCCATGCCTGGCTGTTTCCGGTGTGGCTTTGAACTCACAGAGATCCAGATGGATCTCTGCCTCTGGAATGCCAAGATTAAACGTGTGTGCGCCACCATTTTCTGGCCTCTATGTCTATCTAGTGGCTGTTCTGTCCTCTGACCCCAGATGAGTTTATTATGGTGCACGACATATTGGGGAACACAATATCACCACAGGTAGAGTGGGGTGGAAGTGGCAGGAAAGAAAACACAAGTGTCATCTCATCTGCTGTTCAGCCTCAGCTGGGTCCCACGGGATGCCCTGGGGAAGAAATAGTGTCTCCCAGATAGCCCCACCTTGAAGCAAGGGGCCTAGTACTTTGCTCTTTATATCGCCCAGTCAGTGGCTACAGGCTACCCAGGGTAATGGAGCACGGGCAAAAGCAATTCTTCAAGGGAGGGATGACTGTTTTAGTAGCCCATACTCTCCCCACTGGGAGATGGATACCCACTCTAGAAATGAGCGTGTTGGCTGGACACCGGATGTGCATATTACACCAGGCAACCCTGAAGTGCAGGCTTGACAGTGGCAGCTGGTAAATGACTTGCCTAGCAGCACATGGCGAGGGCATTGGGATGTAGCCTGCATCCCTTCAAGTTTAGCCCAGCTTGGGTGGTGGTTGGTGATTTTCCCAAGGTTGAGAATATGTAGCTTATAGTTTCAATGCTTTATGTAAGACTAGCTTCCCTTCCTTCCTTCCTTCCTTCCTTCCTTCCTTCCTTCCTTCCTTCCTTCCTTCCTCCTTCTTGCTGTAGACTAAACCAAACAATAAAACCAGCCAACCAAAACCAAAACAAAACAAAAAAAGAGGCACAAACCCCAAATGTTTGTCATGATTCAGGAAGCCATGATTGGGGTGATGCTTTCAAGCCCAGAGAAGGACAAATGCAACATGAATCTTAAAAGGTCTTATTAATAAAAACAAACCCGGGACAGGTATTGGGGTGAATGCTGAAAGATCAGAGAAGCAGAACAAGCCACAGCTAACCTCATCTTGTCAACTTCTCAGCCAATCCTGTTTCCTCAAACTGGAAGCCTCTGAGTCCTCATCTGGAATAAATCTCAGCTGAACTGCTGCTAAAAGCCTGAAAGCTTAACCAGGCTCTAGTTCCTGGTCCTCAAGCCTTATATAACTTTCTGCTTCTTGCCGTCACTTCCTGGGATTAAAGGCGTGTGTCACCATGCCTGGCTGTTTCCAGTGTGGCTTTGAACTCACAGAGATCCAGATGGATCTCTGCCTCCTGAATGCTAGGATTAAAGGTGTGTGTGTCACCATTTTCTGGCCTCTATGTCTATCTAGTGGCTGTTCTGTCCTCTGGCCCCAGATAAGTTTATTAGAATGCACTATATATTGGGGGACACAATATATCACCACAGACAAATGTAAAGAGGGGCTCAGAGACTCAACACAGCATAGACTCTTAAGAACAGTAGACTATCAATATCAAAAACCTTCTCTACTTTGTGATTAGGATGGCCATGGGGTCTCTAGAACATGACACCCTTAGAGTTAAGTAGGAAGTAGATAGTTCTAGAATAGAATAGCAAGGACCCATACATTATCCTGTACTGGGGACCAACATCACTGATTTGGTGTCCTGTACTGTGGACCACCATCACTGATGCCTAGTGTCCACTAACAGCCATAGTTACGTCTGATACGTCTTATCTTGCTCAGAGTAGGCTCAGGATTTGGGGAGGGGTCAGGGTCCTCATTGGAACAGGACTGGGTGAAGAAAGGCTTATAGGAACGATGCTTAGATTTAAGTCCTAGGAACAGGTAGCACTTCCAATTTAAAGGAGTTAGAATGAGTTGCTGGTCCCGAGGGAACTCTCTTATTTTGTTACAAACCCGTTGTTGCTTTGTTTTGGCCGAATCAAGCATGTGCCCGAAGCTGCTGGTTGGCTTGATGATCTTGACAGTAATTGCAGATGTGGTCTGGAGGCTGATGTCAAGGAGAGGCGCCATCGCGGCAGTCTGCATCCCCGTGTGTTCTATTGACTAGTAAATATGGCACGGAAAATTTCAGGCATAATGATTACTCAGCCAACTAGATCAAATCCTATTTCCAAAAGCTGTTTTCTCGCAGAGTTAATGCGTTGGTTCCTGACTTCCTCTGATCAGTGGGGCATCTAGCTGTAAGGAACAGATTGGAAATTATTTTATTGATTTTTTTTCTTTTTATTTACTAGAGGTGAGAGAAAATTTCTCTTTCCTGAGTGTTGTTTAGCCCTGAGTCAAGGTAAGGACACTGGGAGGTGCTGGGAGAGTGGCTCATAGCCCGATGTCACTGCGTTGTCACCCCCCAACCTCACCCCCCCATGTGGAGCCAGGAAGTGACTTTCTCTGTTGCCTTGGGAAAGTCAACTTTCCTTTTTGGTCCCAGCTACAGTGGTCATTGGGAGGTTGATGGCTACAATGTACAGGGTCTCAAGTAGCTCAATTCATGGGTGTCAGACGTTCTTAAGTCTCACCAGCACCCTGGAGATCATAATGCTGGGCTGCAAAGCCTCTTCTGGTTCAAGTCCTTGGGGAAATATAGGTTGGAAAATTTCCTTTCTTCCCTGGCTGCGCATCTGTCATCAGCCAGGAGACTGAACACATCTGACTTGGGCTGTGCTCACTAGAAAGCTTTCCTGCCTACACAAAACAGAGGGTGGGATGTGCAATGGAAATCATGTCTCCACCCCAGGTTATTTCTTCTTCACAGACTCTCTCTAGTCTACCCTCAAACTAAGAGTGAATATCATGATTAGGATGTCTTCCCATGGTCCTCTCTGTTTTTAATCCCCTAAATGATTTCTAAGGTTATGCAAAGTGAGGACTTTTATGCACGTTATTAGAAAACATTAATTACGTACCGTGACAGGCTACTAAGAAGCTTTACCTGCATTGCTTCATTTAATCCTCAAAAGAACTCTATGAATTAGCTAATCATGACTAATTCTAATTTATACACCCTAGAGATGTTGGACTTGGAATTCAAAGAGAGACATGTAACCTAGTCCATGCCCTTCACCATGAAGTTGGGCCATCTTCCAGCTCATCAAGGGTGAAGCCATAACTCACTGGTAAGTTTGTTGTGTGTGGGTGGGGGGGTGATTCATGGTCCATTGAACCTTTGCCCCCAGTCTAAGCATAAGACTTTCCCCAAAACAGTCTTTTTATGGAGTCACCATGGTGATCAGAATAGCCTCTCAGAGCCAGGCAGCTGCTCAAAGATACAAGTTCACTCTCAACTGTTTATCCCATCCCAGATGACACTCCCCATTTACTGAGAACAGGGGAAGAAGATGATCCTTAAGCGCAAGAGAGAGATACATATCTGCCAATTCATCATTATCACAGAAGGGAGACAGTTTCTCTCCTGATTGGACATATGACTCCCTCCCTACCTCATATTGATCGAAGTATAGGAATAGATATTTAGTTGTAATGATTAGTCTTCAGAATTCTAGCAATAACAGGGAACCCAGAACGAGCGCTGAAGGAAGCACATCCCTGCCAGTCCCCTGAGCATCGAGACCAGGACCACCACAAGGACAGTTTTTAGAGATATACAAATGCTAAGGAGTTCCATATGTACTCAATTAAGTGGACTCAGTATCCCATTAAGTCCTGTGGGTATGATGCAGCCTGTTAAATTGGTAAGCATCATCCATGCTTCACATATAAATAGAAGTCTAGAGGTAATAGAACTGGTGTTCTCAACCCTGGGGGCAATTTAAATCACTTGGAAAGCACAGCAGTGCCGGGGCCCTACCCAGGCCAATTAAATCAGCATCTTTGGCACCAGGTCCAAACGTGAGTATGTTTTCACAGCTCTGCAGTCATCTAGTGCTGAGAATCACTGGATGAAAGGTCAATGTTCTATGAAAATGTTTTCTAGGGTAAACTATGACACCTAGGCAAGCCTGATCGTTAGTGCTCAGTGAAGTTGACTGGTCCAGAAGAGATGGAGATGCCTGCAATGGTCACGTGATGGAAGGAAGGCAGGGATATGTAGAGACTGAGGGGTGAAACTGGCATTGAGCAGATGGTACTGCAGCTGTTTCTCACTCTAGTGAAATGATGAGACAGTACAGGGATGGTGTCAGCTGGCGACAGTCCCAGTCCAGTGATGGCATTGGAGGGGTTATTGTTTGAGAGTTTGGGGGTATACAGGTGCAGACGTGTATGGATGTTGTAGTCGTTCACAGACCCATTGGACAAGTCTATGAGTCTTGGAGACAGCAAGGGCAGCAGTAGCAGCCTAAAGCCAAGAGCGAAGGCCATAAATTGAGGAGGGAGCAAGGCAAAAAAGCCTCATGGGTCTTCGAGGCAGATTAGACAGGTGTAGAGAATTCCAGCCTACTGGAATCCATATTGGATACTGATGTTTGTGAAATGAACCACTTTAGAAAGACATCTCACAGGAACATTTAAAATTGTATGTGTGTGTGCAGTTTATGATATAAATCAAGAGCATTGTAGAGGATGTGGGGGTTGAAATATTTGCATCCTCTTTATGATTTAGTTAGATGCAAATCCCTACTGGACTTTCTCATTCTCCTTTTGGAGTAGTAGTGCATAACAATGACCCTTGAATATAAGTGAGGAGGAGGAATTTTTAGAGAACCCCAGAGGGAATCCAGGAGGTTAAAAGAAAGAGAAAGATCCTAGATTTGTGTATTGTGGAACTTTGTCTCCTCTTGTAATTGTAAAGGGAGTCGAGCACATCAGCAGAATGGCTTGTTCTGTGTATGAAAGGACACTAGGTGTTCAAGCCCTCACTAAGCTTGGAGGCTTTTAGTCCTGAGAGGCCCAGAGAGAATAAGGCAAGTCTCACTGTCATTTCATGACATGATTCCACCTCCTGCCACCATAATTCAGTGAATATCTGTGAGTGACTTTGGTCCCTCACTTCCAGGAGCCAAATCACATGGGGTGGATGCACAGTGTAGGCAACCATCTACAGGACAGTGGAAGTTTATACAGGAAGGCACTGTTTCTTTCCATATCCAGTGTTGTTCGGAGAGTCAGCTCGCTCACAAAATATAGTCTACAGTAGTAGTTAAGATGTTAGTCTGATTAAAAAAAGTCTAGTACATTAGGCTATATTTCAGTTGCAATTGAGCTAGTTTTCACTTTAAACTTGATGCTTAAAGAAAATCATCTGTACGTTAATACAAGGTGAGGCTGTACTGTAGGTATAGGAAGCTCTTAAGCCCTGTGCGAAGACGATGCCGTTACAATATTTATGCGTGCTCCACTTTAAACGAGGGCTGTAGCTCTGCTCCTCTTCCCCGTCTCTCTCCTCCAAGAAAAGTGATGAGACCAACTCTGACACACAGGAGACTTTCTGAGATGCAAATTATAGAGGGAAAAACAAAACACGATTTGCAAACTCTGTCAAGAAGATGTCTCTTTCTGAGGGCTACAAGTGGAACGGAGCACAAATTGGCCTGTGAAGAGTGTCACGTGGCTGTGTGTGGCTCTGACTGAGAGGACAGAGGTAATGAGAGTGCCAGGCACACGGCCTACGATGGTTTGGATATGGGTTGTCATGGGGCCTCCTGCTTCCTGAATGGATAATGCTGTTTCTTGCCTAGTCCTGCCTTCTACCTTCAGGAGATGACAGCACCTTTAATTCCTGAGTGTTTGTTGTGAAGTAGTTTGCATCTTGCTGGCCCTCTCCTGCTACCCCAGCAAATGAAGCAGACAAATAAGAGATACAAGTCAGGTTTGAAAGGAGTTGTTAAACTCCTCTCCATCATTACAACTTTTTGTTGACACCATTCTCTTTGGCTTCCTGGCTTCTGGTCCCTTGTATTTCCTTATCACCATTTTTGTGTAATTTGAGATGGAGCAAGAAACAAATGATAGGATTCTGTCTACTAGGAAAATCTCATCCATGACTTGTCAAATGCCTTTGGGAAGCTACTAAATGACCATTTATAAAAATTGCCAACAGCAGTAGAACTTTCATCAGTGGTTTCTTCTGGGAAACAGGAATTTGGGGGTAAATGTACATATACAGTTAGGTCGAATTACTCATCATAAAAATGGGAACTCTAAGAAACAACCATTGCAGTAGTTGTGTGAAAAACCAACTCGTACCAGAGTGTAAAATTGTAGTTATGGGGGGAGGTGTTTCGGGGGACTGTAGAGATGACTCAGTGGTTAAGGGCCTTTGCTGCTCCTGTAGAGGACCCCAGTTTGGTTCCCAGCACCCACACAGTGTCTCACAACCATGTTTAACTTCAGTTCCAGGTGCTCAGACCCCCCCTCTACTGACCTCTGCGTGCACGATACATGCATGTCGTACACATACATAAATGCAAACAAAACATTCATACACATAAAATAAATAGATCTTTCAAAAAAAGACTAGTTATAACTGAAATTTCTTTTATTTCACTCTAATTTTGAATTTTTCAAAGTTCTGAGAAAGATTTTTTTTTTTGGTGGGGGAACAGGTAATTGTATATTAGATTAAAATTGATATGGTGGTATTACTAAGGGTTTTGTTCAGTCTGAACAGAACTTTAGAAAAATTGACGAAACTAGTGGAAACACATGAACTATGAACCAATAGCTGAGGAGCCCCCAACTGGATCAGGCCCTCTGGATAAGTGAGACAGTTGATTAGCTTGAACTGTTTGGGAGGCCCCCAGGCAGTGGGACAGGGTCCTGTCCTCAGTGCATGAGCTGGCTGTTTGGAGCCTAGGGCCTATGCAGGGACACTTTGCTCAGCCTGGGTGAAGGGAGGAGGGGACTGGACCTGCCTCCACTGAATCTACCAGGCTGAGCTGAATCCCCAGGGGAGTCCTTGCCCTGGAAGAGATGGGAATGGAGGGTGGGCTGGGGAGAGGCTGGAGGGGGCGGGAGGAGGGAGGACAGGGGAATCTGTGGCTGATATGTAAAATTAAATTAAATTATAAAATAAAAAATTAAAAAAAAAGAAAAGTGACAAGTTCTTGAAATAAAAAATCAATGTTTCATGTGGTGGTGTGTTCTGGACTCTCAAGGCAGAGTGGCTGACTACCTGGCCCTAAAGTACTAAGAAGGTACAGGGAGGCTCTTGGTGACGTAAAGAAACACTTTGCCTCCATCTACTGTGACTATCTCAGGTCCAGGCATACAAGGCAGGAGCAGCAGGTGGAGTGTCCCAGAGCAGGCACATGGCAAAGCCAGGATTTGAACTTCCGTGGCCTGTCTTGGTCTTAGCCACCACACTAAACACAGATAGGAATCAATTCCCTTCAGAGATCAAAGCATTCTGCCTGGGGTGTTTGGAATCAGCTTTATAAAAACAAAAGCAAAACCCAAACTCCTCGGCTGGGTCACAGAGCACTGAGAACAGGCAGGGCAGGGCCTGCTGGTGCTAATGGCAGGTCTGGGAGTATGGGAAGGAATGCACATTTGTAGGAGGCAGAGTTCTTGCTGGTTCCCTCATTGTATGTAACATAGCTATTTTTGATTTCTGTCTGAGGAAATTGCATTCAGAAGCATAAAGGTTTATGTAAAGGATTGTGAGGTTGCCATGGTCAGGTACTGGAATAAGGATAGACTTGTAGGTCTTTGGCATAGGATCGAGAATGCTGATGAATCATCCTTCTATGGTTAATTCATTTTCAAATTTTTATTTATTTTTCATGTGCGTGAGTGTTTTGCCTGTGTGATGTATGTGTACCTCCCATGTACCTTTTACCTGAGGAGGTCAGAGGAAGATGTGGAATTCTTGAAACTGGAGTTATGGATGCTTGACCATCCATGTGGATGCCCGGAGCCAAACCTAGGTCTTCAACAAGAGTGGCAAGTGCTTGGAACCGCTGAACCATCTCTCCAGACCCTGGTTGATTTGTTGTCAATAAATATGCTAAAATAATTAAACATGATTGAATGGCAAAGGGTAGTCTTTTTTTAATATGTGGTGGGGGAGAGCTAGTTTATTCTTTCATCATTTTTATGTTATAAAATAAAGCTAATCTTGATTTTCATACAAAGAACGACTCTCTACTTAGAAATTTAAAATCACTGGGCCACAATGGAATTAAGCTCAAAATCAACACAGAAGAAATTTGAAAAACTCTCAGATGTGCAGACATCGAAGCAATTTACTTTTAAATAATCTGTGAATCAAAGAAATCACCAGGGAAATTAGAGAATATTTTTAACTGAATGAAAAATGTGTTAAACAGTATAAAGGCGGCGAAAGCAGAGTTTAGAGGGGAATTGACAGCTTTAAATGCTTCCATTGGAAACATGGAAGGGTCTGAAAACCAGCAATCTTAGCTTCCACTTTTAGAAACCGAAAACCAAAGGGCAGATTAAATCTAAAAGTAGAAGGAAAAAATGACCAGAGAGGAAATCGTTGATATATAAAGTAGACAAGGATGTGTCAGGGCCAGTGAGATGGATCAGTGGGTAAAGGTGCTGCTGAGCAAGTCTGGAGACCCGAGTTCAATTCCCAGGATCCACAAAAAAGCAGAAAGAGAGAAATGAGTGCCAGACAACTGGTGAATGGCCAAGCACAGTGGAGTACTATTTAGAGGAGAAAAAGAAAGCAATGGTTCAGTCATGGATGACTCTTAGGACCAGACAAAGTAGACACAAACAGCTTCTATACTGTATGATTCTATTTATATGGAATTCTAGAAAAGAAAAAAAAAACATTGTAGAAAATATATCACGGATTGCCTGGTACCTCAGTGCCGGAGATCAGACAGAAATAGGCACAAAGTATCATTTGAGGGCTGAGCTTGATGGCACATGCCTTTCTTCTCATCCCTGGAGAGGCAGAAGGAGTTGGATCTTTGTGAATTCCAGACTAGCCTGGTCTGCATAATGAGTTTACAGGATGGCCGGGGCTGCATAGTGAGACCTTGTCTCAAACAAAACAAAACAAAACAAAACAAGTACCCCCTGCCAAAACCCGGAAACAAAAAAACCCTTGAACTGCACACAGTAGATGAGTGAGTTGTCAGTAATTCACACGTCCTGTAGCAAGCCACTTACTAGAGGCAAAACAGTGTTTTTCTGTTCATATTTTAGTGCACGTGAGATGATTATCTTAGCTTTACTCCTTCTCCCCCATCATGTGAGCAGTGTGTAGAGGCATGGACATTCGTACTTGTGAACTCTAGATGGAGTCGAACAACTTTTCCTGGTGGTAGTATAAAGTGGAGTTAAAAACTTAAATCCAGATGTCCTGATTATGAAACATGAAAATAACATAACAAAAAGTTAAAAAGAACTTTGGCTAGAATTCTTTACAGCAAAAATTCCTGTGTTCATTTGTTTTGTAGACTTCATAGTGCACCATATAAGCACACCAATATACACCAATAGACACATACATTGCACACACACATACACATCCCACACACATTGCACATATCATACTGTACACACACTACACACACTGCACACATACACATTGCACACACACACTGCATACATATACACATCACACACTTTGCACACACATTGCACACGCACCCTGCAACACATTGCATATACATTGCATACACACTGCACATATACATATACACCACATACATTGCACACGCACACACACACACACACACACACACACACACACACACACACACACACGCTGCACACACACTTTGTTTGGTGTGTTGGTAAAGAGAATGTTTGTATAAGTGGCCACATTGTAACTTCTGAGCATAAATTATGAGACTCTGGATGTTTCTTATTAGAGGTCAATGTTTTGGGTATCCTGTTATTAGTGATCTTAAAATTTTTCTTTTATTTGTGTGTGTGTGTGTGTGTGTGTGTGTGTGTGTGTGTGTGTGTGTGTGTGTTTGTGTGTGCGTGTACAGATGTGTGCATGCCTGTGAGTCCAGAGGTTGATGTCAGGTGTTATCCTATATTACTCTTCAACTTTGTTTTTTTTTGAGACAGGGTCTCTCTATGTACCTGACTGTCCTGGATTCAATATGTAGGCCAGACTCAAGGTACTGAACTGAATTACATTTGGAATTTCTTTTGATCACATAAGATGATATTGGTCCTGGGGTAAGTGTAAAAACATAATTTTTTGGAGACCTCTATCCAAATCACTATACTAAACAATCTCTACTTTTTAATTTTTTAATTTTATGTATATGTATGTGTGTGTGTGGACAGATACCAGAAGAGGATGTTAGGTAACCACTCCATCATGCTTTTCTTTATTTTCTTTAGCAGGATCTCTCACTGAACCTGGAGTTAGGCTGCTGGCCTGTAAGTTCAGTGGTCCTTGTCTTTGCTTCTCTGTAGCTCTGTGGTTACAGGCGTGCATGGCCTTTTACAAGGGCATTGGGGTTTGAACTCAGCTCCTTTTGTAAGAAGTGCATTAATTCACATAGTCATCTTCCCAGCCCATATCCATTTCCTAAAGATAAAGAATGTTGATAAAAGAGATTCACTACCTCGCTGGTGAACTTAATGGGCTGTTCACTCACCTTGTCGCTTGAAAGCCAGGGGCGACCTTTAGTAAAAACAAGAGTGGAAACAAGACAGAAGAGGCCTGTTAGGGCAACACGTCACCTTTTCTCAAGGATCTAACTTTGCTGTTTGAATTCAATGTGGATTTTATCACAAACGTTGTTTTGTGTGGTGACCTGAACATTTTTTTTGATAAAATGCAAAAGGTAGAAATAGTGAATTGCTTTATTCTTTAAAATTGTCAAACCATCGAAATAGAAGTGAAAAAAAAACCCAAAAAACAACAAACCCAAAACATGGATATATTACAGTCTCAGTATCACTCTATCCCAAGGCCTATAAATACTCAACAATGTCAAAATGAATTTACTAAAAACAGCCACCTTTTATGATTCATGAGGTCGGCAAGTGAGGAAAGGGGCTAGGGGAAATATGTAATTAGAAGTGGACAAATAGCTTTGCATCCAAAATATGTGAAACACCGATGTTCAGGCTCAGGCTGGAGGCCCTTGGTAGGCTCCTAAATCAAACTCAGAAAAACATTATTCTTCTTTCTTTAGAGGCATGAATGTTGACCCTGTCGGCTTCAGACTGAAGGGCCTTCCCAAGAGGGCTGGTCCAACAGTCCTTGAGTTCTGCACCAAGAAACCGCATCTCTGCCTCTGTGCTCTCATTCGTATTTAACTCCCCCCCGCCCCCCCAGATGAGTGTTCACTATACAGCCCTGGCTGGCCAGGGACTCACTATGTAGACCAGACTGACTTCAAACTCAGAGATCCACTAGCATCTACCTCCCATTGCTGAGATTAAAAGCATTCACTACCATACCCAGATGGGCTTTCATTTTTAACAAGCTTTGGGTAGGGTTGCTAAGAACCCTAAATTTTACAAATCTCTGTTCTTCAGAAGCATTGCTCTGTTTATCCTTCTGCTTCATCGAAGTCTTAGAAGAGATTAAAAAAAAATCCTCCTATTGAGCTGATAACTGGTAATAGCTTGTTGTGCTGTTTCTAATGTAGTATTTACATTTTCAGTATTGATTACAATCTGGCTCTTCACCTAAAGGAATGAGCCTGGGCTGCTGGCTTTTCACAAACCTCCATGGGTGGGTGTGGATAAAAGAGTTCTCACCACAGGAGTGAATTCAGATAGTTGAGTTTGCTTGTGTGGCTTTGTTAGATCCTGGCCAGGCTCTGGCAGGACCCTTAACCTTGGGCTGGCCACCACGGGCTGCTGCAGGAACTCACTGTGCCCTTGGTGGCGTCAATAACCCTTTTAGCTTGACTTGCTGGTGTGGAAGTCACTCTCAAAGAGAGGAAAAAAATCCACTGATGAAGTGCAAGACCCTGTTCTCTGTCTTTGATTCAGATCGTCGTTTGTGGTATGGGCTGGCTTCTATGTGTGAGTCTAGACCAGCAGTTCTTAAAACATGTTCACTGGAACACTGGTTAATCCATTTCCTCAACAACCAATTTATCGAACAGCTTTCATGCACTCAGCTCGATCATATAAATTACATACAGTATTATATAGATTACAGTTGGGAATTAAAAATATCTGTATCCCTCCAGGGCTTGTTAATCTAGTTGTCAAAGGTGCGTGTGGATTTAAAAATATATATATATAAGAAGGCAGGGAGTATTTGTGGCCAGTACTTTTCTTTCTTTCTTTTTTTTAACCGCTAAACAACAGTTTATTCATTCCATTAGAGAAGGAGGTAAACTTCAGATTACAAAACCAATGTAAATATAATTTTGAAGAATTAGAGTATCTTCAAGAAACCAGTCACAGCTTAACTGAAGTGCATGAAAACATGGGATGATGTCCACTGAGGAAGGTCACCTTCCTCTAATGTGTGAAAAGTTAATGAGATACACTTCCTTAGTCACTGAGGAAGAAATTTTCTTTCTTGGTGAGCTGATACTATTTCTTCTTTGTAGCTCTTTTCCCTTCTCCTTTCCTTGGTTTCCCCTTTCCATGGAGCGTCTTTAGATGTCTTTGCTTTTCCATAGAATCCTGATGCTCATCTCTGTAAAGGCCAAGGAAACGGAGTGTGCCCATGAGCGCAAAATACGTGTTGTGATTTGGATACCAGTCATAAGCCTCTTACTTTTTGGCCAAGGGCTGTTCACTGAACATATTCACCACTTTCCTGGACTTTGAATCAGTAGGTCTGGCCACCTCACCAAAGATCCGGGCACTTAGACGAGACAGACGCAGTGCACATTCTGAAAGTGAAGCCATTTCTTAGGCAGCGAGGAACAAGATTCCCTGCGTCTGACCTTGCTCGCGTGCGTGCGTTCCGGAAAGCCCGCCCCCCCCCCCCCCCAGTACTTTTCTTAACTACAGAATTTCCTATAGTAAATTACTATAGGAGTTGGTCAGGGTTTGAAGGATACCCAAGGTATCATTTGACCAGGGAGCCTCTGGGTATTAGATTTTTTTTTTTTTTAAGAGATCGTGTTCTCACAGATATAATTCCTAAACTTCAAGAATGAGATTATTTCTCGTGTTGTGTCGTCAGTGTTGTTTCGGGGGCTCAGCGGGGTGGAGGGCTAGTTCTCATACAGCTCAGGGTGACTTACTTCTCTCACTTACCTTGAAGTAACGACACTTCACACTTACTGAAATAGCTCTGTTGATGCCTCGAGCGCAATTCCATGAGCATGTCGTGAAGCAAGGCCAAATGAAGGAAGGGAGGCCGGTGTCCTGACGTGCCTGTGGTGAGGATGGAGAAAGTTTAGAGAAGTCAAGCGTGGGAATGACAACGGCCAGTGAATGTGTTATCCGGAGCAGAAGACAGCCCTGTAGTTTTTCCTGTAGTTATGTTATGCTGCCCGGCAAAGGTGACTGCAGCTGTAATTAGCCTGTGTAGAGAAGCCGACCAGGCTGCAAGCCAGTGACTTGGAACTATAGAACATTATTTCTTGTTTTTTTTTTTTTTCTCATTTTTTTTTCTTATTTATTGTTTTAAGCTGCCCGGTCTGTGGTAATTTGTTACACAGTGACTGAAAAACAAAACAGAGAACTAAATTGAATCACTCCTCTCCTTTGACAAATGATGGACTAGAAGGCCGTGGAATCATAATGAATCACCTGTGTCTCTTAGTTGACCTCTGGGTTCCATGTCCAAGAAGTTGCGTTTTAACCTTTGCCCCTGTATCCCAGGGTGTTACCTAGCAGACTGTTTTTGTTACCTATATGATGCACAGTAGGTTCAGCCCCTCTTCTGTAAGAGCTTAGCCACATCACAGGGGTAATAGGCAAGCCCACACAGCTCATCTCCAAAGGCCAGTCCCAACCCAGTCTTAACTCCACCGCTGTCAAGTACAGATGCCGGCTAGAACTGGCCTCAGTATTTGTTTGGCCTGAGAGTTATTTCCAAGACCTAACTGGTGGTTAACACAAGAAGTTTGAGAGATTCTACACAGCAGCCTGACAATTCCTGGATAGCCAGGTGAACAGCTGGTGTCTGTGAAATGCCCCAGGAGCTGGGTGCAAGAAAGGGGTTGTGCCCTCTGCTTCTTACTGGTAGAAAAATGTATACTTTCCAGTGGGAGTTTGCTTGGGTGTGACACTGTGAAACCCTATTATTTCTACAGAACCTCTCTTGTGAGCTTATAGACCGTAGGCTAGGAGCCATTGACCCTTTTAACAATGAAGAAGGTGCATAAGGGTAACTTACACAATGAGAAATAGTTCAGACCCTGCCGTGAACTCAGATCTACAGACTCCAGACAACATTTCTTCTGGGGCTGTATTTCCTTACTTAAAAAAAAAAAAAACAGTTAAAATGAAGTCATTATCCGCTCTTCATATATAATAGTCTATGAAGGTCCAGGGAGGACAAAATAATTAAGTCCAGCACAGTCCAGTTTCAAGGGAGAGGGACTCATTCAGACTAGGTCAAGCCCCAAGGGAGTGTTTGATGATCAAACTTGACTTCCTCAAGGCTCCAAATCGGATGCTGTCAGCCTGCTTGTCTCTATTGTTAGGGCTGTACAATATGCTTTGCATGCTCTTCTGTGCTTTTATTTTGTATCTGTTTGCTCAGGACCCCTGTGGTCTCCATAAGGTGGAGCCTTGGGGTCTAAGGCCCCTGGCTGGGCTCTCCTCTTGTTTTGTTTTATAAAGATATCTGTTTGGTGGAGCATTGTAGGCATCAGGGCTGGGATTGGTCATCAACTCTTGCTTGAAGGTGGATGGTGTCTTTCAGAAGTTGGACCAGTGGCATTAAGGAGTGTGCTGTGGAGATCACTGCTACAAGTGCCAGCTGAGGGTTGTCTGGCTGCCACATGCATCTCATTTAGGAAACGGCCTCTTTCCTGGCAAGACGCACCGTATTATAAAAATCTCATTCCCTTCCCTCCCATTCGCCATAAAACCCTATTACCGAAAGACCACTTAGGTTATTTCCTTTGTTTCTTTAATTCTGCTCTTTCATCTTTTAGCTTTTCTATTAGTGCTTTTGCCTCTCCCTCTGGCATTAGAGTATCCAAGGAGGACATCTGAGACATACATTTCATAGCTTCGGTGTCCCCTGGATGGAGTTATCTTCCCTTTCTTCACCTACCCTAAAATCCATTCTCAACTGTGGTATGTCCTGGCTTTGAGGGTAAGGACCAAATAGCCACACTCAGAGTGACGTTGACCAGATGAAATGATGCTGTTGACATTTATTCCAAGGACCCAGTGGCTGCCTGATGTGAATGTCAGGTGATGTTCATGAACATGACTTGTCTGGGCTCTAGGGCCACATCCAGCCTCCCGACTCTTCCTGTGACTCACCCTCACTGGAGTCTGTTGAATCACTACAATCAGGAAAAGGTACTAATACTTGGCACTGAAATTTAATAGCTCTCCTAGCCTAGGGACTTCATTAGCTGGCGGGAGAATGATGGCAGGCTCTTTATGATCCTGAGCTTCCTATGTGGAGTTCCCTAGATCATATCAGCTGAGATGAGGAGCCATTGCACATTAGAATGGACATTTGAGGGAGAAAACTTTTTGTTTTTTTGTGGTTCTCTATCCCTAAATGTCACTGTTCTTTTCTATAACCTAGACCCACACCTTCTATACAATGGTGATTAGAATTTGGCCTTTGGGAAGTGGGAAAGGAATTGATATTTGGCACAGTCTGACCCAGGAAAGCTAATAGCCATGGCAGTGGAATCTTTCCTCTGTCTTTTGGGAAGTATGTGGCCCATCCTGTGTTTCCCTGCTTAGCTTCACTCCTGAGCCAAGCAGTGTGAGTATAAAGCACTCCTTTGTTTTCTGGGTCAGTTTAACATTTGTCTGGAACTTTTCTCTATTCTGAATGACTAAAAAGTTTCCCTATTAAAATTTTGTTTGAGAGCTGGGGATATGGTTCTAAGGGTCAAAGCGCTCGCTGCATAGGCACGAGGACCTGAGTTCAGTTCCTAGCACACCCAAAAGCTGGGCATACACCATGGATATGCCGGCAACACAAGCAGTGTGGGGCATGAAACTAGAGGATGCCTTGGACCTCCTGGCTGCCAGCCTAGCAAGTCTAGGCTCAGTGAGAGACTCCATCTCAAGCAAATAAGGTAGAAGGTGATAGAGCAGAATACCCAACATCCTCCGCCGGTATCTGCATGCATGCTTTGGGTATACCTTTCATCCTACGCACAAGCATTACATATGTATCACACGTACACACAATAGTAATTCTTTTTTATTATGGGAAATTAAATGTGTGATTTTTAGATTGAGATCACCTGTGTTCTAAACCTCGTAGGCTGATAACTCAGAGTGTGACCTTAACCAAATCAGCCTCAAATGGTCGATCGTAACTCACCACGTCAACCTCTCAGCAGCAGAAAGAAAACTCATCAGAAGTTGCTTTGCTTTGTTGAGGTGGAACTTAAATTTCTGGGATAGTATAATCTAGGCCTGTGGAACAGACAAATGCAAGTTCAAATCCCAGCAAAACCCCAGGTTAATTATGTGGTCTTAGGCCAGTGTGTGCCTAATTTTCCTTTTCCGTGGGAAACATTAGGAGAGTATTAACCCATTGCTTTATGTTGGAGTTCTGTGATATTATTAAGATAAAGTATACTATGTATTATGTCATATTATAATAATATACCTCCTGCACCACTGCAGTAATACATCCTGACCTCTTCTCTTGTTTTCATAGAACTCACCAAGTTTGAGATCCCAGATGAGATTCCAGATGATCTATTTGTTTAGCGCCCCCCCCCATCATATCCCCAAGTTTTATAAGGATACAGATACAAAGTTTTGCTTTTTGTTCACTGTTCTGTCATTAGTCTTTGGTGATAGTCAGCATTTAATAAACACGTATAGAATGAATGTCATTTCTGTAGACCTGTGGTCGGGAGCTAGTAAATATTTTAGGCTGTGCAGGCTGTGAAGTCCATTACAAGTGTTCAGCCTGGCTGTTGTAGTATGAAAGCCCTACAGAGATTCCCTACACAAATGGTGGTGATGGCCATATAAAACAGCATAAAAGAGGCTCTGAGCTAGAGCCAGCCTGTTGCTCGAAACCCAAACGGTCTTATAATAAAAACAGGGAGTCAGACATCAGGGTAAATGCTGAAAGTTCAGAGAAACAAAGGAACAAGCTGCTAGAGAAACTTCTCACCACTACCAAATCCTCAGGCTGAATGGAAGGCGAGATCCTGTCTCCAGGAATCCTCTGACTGAAAGCCTCCGAGTCCTCAGGCAAAAGGCTAGTTTCTGTCTCCTCACAACTTACATGCCTTTCTCCGCCCAGCCATTTCACTTCCTTCCTAGTGCTGGGATTAATGGCCTGTGTGCTTCCTAAATACTGGTAGCAAAGGCCATGAGATCTCAAGTGCTGGGACTAAAGGTGTGTGCCACCACTACCTGGCCCTGTTTCTCTCCTAGACTGAATCAATCGCATGTAGTTCAGGGTGGCTTTGAACTCACAGATATCCAGATGGATCTCTGCCTCCCCAGTGCTAGGATTAAAGGTGTGTACCACCACTGCCTGGCCTCTATGTTTAGTCTAGTGGCTGATTCTGTCCTCTGATCCTCAGGCAAGCTTTATTTGATACACAGTGTATCACCACACCAGCCTGTAGAGGGTAGTTGGCATCTCGTTATTGTAGACCTACAGAACAGAGCTGAATTCTGATGTGTTAGTCCTTTAAGTCATTCTAAATCAACCCTTCACAGACATTTGGATTTACACAGGATGAAGAAAGGGGAAAAGCAACCTAAGAAACCTTTCCTGAGAGGCAGGGCCTTTCTCCAGGTCCTATGCCCTTTGGTTGATTTCAGAAC